ATATATATACATACATACACATATATATATATATATATATATATACTATATATAGTAAATATAATTATATAAGCATGTGCATTTTTTGTCGTGTGCTTTTAGGTCGGGTGACATTATATTTAGTAAGTGAAGGTATTTTATACTGGTACACCCCTTGCGAGTTCGTATAAATTATATTAACATCAGTTCTCTTTTCACACCTTTTCAACAGTATATGCCTATTTGTCATCAGGCGTTTATGTACAAGCACTGCGAATAAAGCTCAGTTGCATGCGTGCACGAATCGCCTCTCCATAGATCACACTCGTGCATATACGTTGGCGCCTCTCCATCCGTATGCCTGTACTTCCCGCACGTAGTAAGCCATTCCCGCATACATATGCAGCTGTTAACTCGCACGTCTTCGTCGCTAGGTTGTACCCGTGTATAAGTGACGGCTGATGTGCACAGACACCTTGTTTAGGAGACTTACACATGTGGATCGCTATCCTTGCATGGTTGCTATCACGCGGCGGACTTACACATTGCGTATTTATGGAGACCGGGTCTCAGTCTGGGCTGATGCCTGTGTAAGCCTCCGCATACGCTCTATTTCGGCACATCCCATCCATGGCCCTTACAAGCGTAAAACACAAACTTGTCCATGGGCGGGAGAGGAGATATACGGGGAGCGTGCCACCCAGTGGTCTATACGAAGGCTTCAAATCGTACACTCTTACCACACAACGTGATTGTGCTATGTATATTCCACATCACATTGAGTGTAACCCTACCACACCGCTATTCGGTGCAGCAAGCTACCCAAGAGGCCCACGTGCGTAGCGTTTATGCACTCGTCCGTGGCCGTGGCCGTGGCGGATCGCGAAGGGGATGTGCATGTCGTCAGTGTCACCGACGGAGTGTGTGCACAGGAGACCGTCATGGAGAGTCTGGCCTTGATATTCGATGTGGTAAGTTCCGGTTGGTGGGGGCTGTAACCGATTTGATAAGGGTGTTGTACTGGGAGGTTTAGGGTTTAGGGATTGGGGTTTTTTGTGTGTAAAGGGGAGTGGGTCTGTGGTGAGGTGAGCTCGTTGAGTGGGTGAGTGGGTAATTGTAGGTTAGATTTGGCTTTAAAAGGCAGTTCGGAGTGAGTGTGCGTTTGTACCGAGGGGTCTGGGTTTCAGCAGAGGATGTATTGGTATTGACATAACTTATGTTGTTGTTATTATTATTGATACTATTATCATTATTGTTATCATTACTCTTATTTTTTCTACTATTATTATTGTTATCATTATCATTCTTATCACTACTATTATTAGTGTTGTGATTATCATATTTTGACTATTATTAATATCGCTATATTTATCATTCTTATTAATACTATTCTTCTTACTATTATTATATTATTATTGTTTTTGTTCATATTATTGATACCACTATTAATTAGATTAGTATTATGGTCCGGCAGCTATACAACAGGACGTGCACTGATCGCCTACCACGATGTTACACACACACTTCTTGTGAACCGACCAAAATAATACATTGCAAAATGGCTATCACTGTGGCCTGGTTGTGTTTAATCGGGATTACGAGTGTGAGACATACACAGAGCAGCGTGTATGTCGTATCATCCGAGTGTTGTACTGTTGTACATAGTCGTAGCTGTCATTAAGTGTAAGGTATATGCAGAATAGCTTGAATGCCACATCAGCCGGGTATTCGACCTAGTCACTCCCGTGGGTGGCTCAACGCTCCGACTGTATGTGCACGAGAGCTTCTCATTACGTAGTGAAACGTACGCACGCCCTCATGATCGTCTCAACACCAAATTCACATACGCGAGCTTCCACACCCACATAACCTTATGCATATACCTACCTCCAGATGCACATCCCTGTCCTCATTCTCATCCACCCATCCGCTACCAAACACAAACACGCCCCAACAAACAGACACCCACCAGTGACAACAAGTACATGATCTCTGGCGACCGCCACGGCAAGCTGCGGGTGAGTCACTACCCCAACGGCTACAACATCCGCTCGTTCTGCTTAGGCCATTCTGATATGGTCACACGGGTGATGTGTGTACGGGCGGGCGACAGGGACGCTACGGAATGGGTTGTGAGTGGGTCGGCTGATGGGACGGTCAAGGTGTGGGACTACCTCACGGGGACTGTAGTGGGGTGTACGTCTACGCTGGATAAAGGTACTGGTGTATGTGGCTGTGTATGTGTATGTGTTTGTATGAGATGTTTATTGTAGGTACACCTGGGGGTAGACCTTATGGGCGGTGTAGTGGGGTGTACGTCTACGCTGGATAAGGTACTGGCGTATGTGTATGTGTATGTGTATGTATGAGATGTTTCTTGTAGGTGCACCTGGGGGTAGACCTTATGGGCCCTGTAGCGGAGTGTACGTCTAACTGCCCCTGGCCCTTTCTATTACCCTTTACCCACACAATCATACCCCCTTCCGGACACTACCCGTAGCCCTTTATATTGCCCCTTATCCTCACCAACATCCCCCCATCTCGCTATACCCGGACAGACCTACAGTCCAATGGGGTCGTCAACCACATCACCACCACCACAGCCGACAACGGAGACACGCTTCTATCCTTCTCCTACGAAGGCAAACCACATGTGTACACAACCACCATCACAGCCGTTGGGTCACTACGTGCGTTGTACAGCATACCAGCCCCCGCGAATGTCTGTGGTGTGTCTGCGGGATCTGATAACAGGCTATGGATCATTACGGAGAATGAAGGTAGGGTGTGTGTGTATACGGGTGGTGGGCGAGGATACGGCGTGTGGTCTGTGACGGGGGTGGGATATGTTGTGCGCGGACAGGAGGCATGTGTATGAGCATCTCTTGGCGCACAGCTAGTAATCAGTTATACGACGTCATGTATACGTATATACAGTGACACGTGCGAACTTGCGTTCATATACAAGTATAGTATACGCCTATATACGGGGTTGTGTGGGTCATGTTGTTGGGGCTGCATGATCATTCGTTTGAGATATAGACCCTCCACACTGGTATGTTGTAGAGCAACTATATTCATATTCTGCTAGTTAAATAGAATGTCTGGACCACGCGTCATCATGATTGTATATGAAAGCATGACCCTTTACTT